ATTTGGAAGTAGTTCAATACTGATCTACTGCGCCTGGGCAAGCTCCAATAGTGACATAAGCTTCGCTTGGCCTGGAATCTTACTGTGTCATGGAGCCAACAGCATCCTTTGTCCTAAAAGTACCTCAGATCTGCCAAGCTCTACATATCTCGGGGATGCTTACTTTTCTTGGCAATGTGCTCTCTGGATGATAAATTCTGAATAGAAAGGATCATGTGGTTAGTGCTCATCAACAATATGGTATGATACCCAGGTATCTCTCCAGTGAACAACAACAACCAAGCTTGGCTCCTTCAAACACTATATACTATGTCATAAAGTCTGAGGACCTCGATATTGTAGGGAGACTCATCTTATCTTGGTTCAGCCAATATGCTGGACTCTCCAAATTTGTTTCCCATGTCAACTGCGGTAGATTACAGTGTATGTGATCTGCTGCTGTTGGTGTTCGATTTAATATGTATACGAATGTTATGCATACGCTTGTGGTTAGCCAAGAGTCGAATTCTACGAAATCCACGGGAAACTCATGAGACGGACTGGAAACAAGCGGATTGCAATACCTTTCTTTTAGCAACGCTTTTCTTTGTTTCATACCTTTCATATTTGGAACTTGTATTGCATCTAGCACTAGGCGTTCACCCTATTCTTGGAGTCACATGTATTTGATACTCACATAATGACTTATGATCAAAGTCTGCTATGGCATAAGCTGCCTATGATGGTGACTTATTAGCTTGTCCGATAAAACTTGTAAATAATATCTCCCGTATGTTGTAAATTCCGAGATATATACTTCAACGCTTTGACTTCTCCGCCAATCACCGATGTCGCTGATGACGCGACATATTTGTGCCTGAGGTATCCATATATTCTCCCCCGATAGCTTTCGAAGTGGGCAGCTTTCTTTCCTAACTTTCACAGATCTTAGGTCTTTATAATGCGGTCGTTTGGAGGCGTCGCTCGGGCTGCTTCACGCACAATTCGAAGCCAACCGTGGCGACAAGGCAACTCCCTCGTGAAGCCCGCGGGACCGCATCGGACTTTATCGGCGCAATGGACGACCGCACGCCCATTGCATACAGTGTCACCGCGAAAATCAGCAGCGGTGGCTGCGGAGTCAAATGAGAGAGACTCATCCAATCCAGCCATGTCGTTCCCCTGTCTAGACGCCCAAGAAGAAAAGTCAGCACAGCTCTCCGCTCGGTCGCTGCAATCCGGACCCGAACCCTCATACACCACCGGGCGACACGAAACATACCACTGTGAACAACCACTTCTGCTCGACTGGGGTGGTGTGCTCACTGAATTTGAGGTTGCCTACGAAACATGGGGAAAATTAAACAGCGACAAGAGCAATGCCATCCTCCTGCATACCGGCTTGTCCGCTTCAAGTCATGCCCATAGCACAGCTTCCAACCCAAAGCCCGGCTGGTGGGAGAAGTTCATTGGCCCCGGATTGCCACTGGACACCGATAAATATCACATTATTTGCACTAATGTTCTCGGAGGATGTTACGGCAGCACAGGCCCGTCTTCCCTCGACCCGTCCGATGGAAAGCGATACGCAACCCGCTTCCCGATCCTGACTTTAGACGACATGGTGCGCGCTCAATTCCGGCTTCTTGATGGCCTAGGAATAAAGAAACTCGCTGCCTCAGTCGGATCCAGTATGGGCGGCATGCAGAGTCTCGCGGCAGGCGTCCTTTTCCCAGAGCGGGTCGGCAAGATTGTCAGCATCAGCGGTTGCGCCCGTAGCCACCCTTACAGTATAGCAATGCGGCACACGCAACGGCAGGTGCTGATGATGGATCCCAACTGGGCGCGTGGATTCTACTACGACGGAATCCCGCCCCACTCTGGTATGAAGCTAGCGCGCGAGATTGCAACCGTGACGTACCGCAGCGGGCCAGAGTGGGAGATGCGATTTGGTCGCCAGCGTGCAGACCCTAGCAAACAGCCAGCTCTGTGCCCCGACTTCCTTATTGAGACGTACCTCGACCATGCCGGTGAGAAGTTCTGCCTCGAGTACGATGCCAACAGTCTTCTTTATGTTTCCAAGGCCATGGACTTGTTCGATCTCGGCCATGCCCACCAGACTGCGACTCGGAAACGCCGGGCAGAGTCTGAGGATCGCATTGCCCACGGCGGTGGCGCACTTAATGCGTCGGATTCCACTTGCAGTCTGACCCTTCCAGACAAACCATATGAGGAGCAGCCTGGATTAACTCCCAAAACCCCGCTGGACGAGTCTGTCGCTGCCGAGCAAGTGGATGGTCCTCCCCGGGATCTTGTTGCAGGCCTTGCGCCTCTCAAGAACCATCCTGTGCTTGTTATGGGTGTTGCAAGTGACATCCTCTTCCCAGCGTGGCAGCAGCGAGAGATCGCCGAGACACTCCGTGCTGGAGGGAATAAAAATGTCGAGCACATCGAGCTTGGTGACGACTTATCGCTCTTCGGTCATGACACTTTCTTGTTGGATCTTAAGAACATCGGTGGCGCGTTGGGCAAGTTCCTGCGCTAGTCGCATGGAATGTTGCGTCCAAGGCGATTGAAATTAATATAAATTTGTACATTGGTCGTTCAGCGTGCGACTTTCGGCATTTAGCAGGCACTTTACATTTGCGAAATGAGATACATACCTCTACTCTGTTTTATTTGCAGTTTTAAGGAATCAATGGATACTCCCGCCAATCTACAGGTAGTAGTTGCGAAAAACGGAAACATCAATACATAACTCCACTTTATTCTATAAAGATGCTATATGTACATGGTGAAGTCCACAAGAATAAAAGGAAACTCGCCCTCAGGTTGCTCTCGGTTATCATAACTGACTTCCAGCTGTGTAGACGGTCCAATGAATGGAGTCGTCGTCAAGCGGATGCCTGCAGAATTGGCTTATGTTCGTCTTAGGACGAACTCATCACAGGGCGAGAAAGATAAACAAACAGAATGAGACAAACAACAAAGTCTACGACCCCAGAAAGCCAGTCCATCTTTCCCAAGAAGGCAGTGTCCTATCGTCTGAAACTTGATATAGTCTATGCGTTTAAATCTTGGGATTAGCAGTGTTGTAGATGCGTGTTGGTCGCCTCATGAAACGAGTCTCGCTGTTGGCTATTGTCCCAATCAACTCAGCATTGAAGTTGTATTGGATATCAAAAGCCTAGACCATTTTAACAATGGTTGGGAAATTGTAAATCTGAGCTTGATAGATGCTTCATCGGGAATATAAAATGGACCAGACGCAGAGGTTGCTTTTAAGTCCAGGGGATTAAAGATTCTTCCGTCCCCGGTGTTATGCCGCTCGCTGCCTGAGGCAGAAAATATTTTCAATATATCTACGTGACATGTTGGAAAGATAGTTTAGGAAAATTGTTTAAAAGCAATTTAAAACTTGTGTTGCACAGAAATATCCTGGCGCCCAAGTATCACAAGATCTATGCAGAATCCCTTTTCAGCGCGGAGGAACTGTGGGCTGCTGGCTGAACTACCCGATTTAGACATAAAGAGCGCAAGTGTGGATCCAAGTCTCCCACACTTACAAGGTTGGTATCATACTAATTAATCTACACGCATATAAAAGGTATAGAAGTAGGCCTATTTCCCACAATTCTAGACAAATATCTCCTCACATTCTACCTATACCTCCAACATGGCACACTCAAAGGAATGGCAAAAAATGCTCCGTGGAGAGCTATACTGGGCATGGGACGAGGATCTGCAGGCAAACCGAACAAGATGTAAACAGGCTTGCGATGATTTCAATGCCGCCGGGGCTGCAACAAGACGCCGAAAGGTAGAGCTGTGGAGAAAGTAAGCTCGATCGGCGTGATCAGAATGGCCATTATTACTCGAGAGGCCTTTTGTTGACCATACTTTTAGTATTGTCTGCGACACACGTCCAATGCCACCATTGAACCTAGACCCCAAAGAAGACGAGGCACTATTTGAAGAAACTGATCCCTTTGTCGATGGGCCGATTTCCGTCGACCACGGTCAGAACTTCAAGGTTGGCAAAGGCACCTTTATCAACTTCAATCTTCTCGTGCTAGACACCTGCCTGCTTACCGTCGGGGAACGGGTGCTGTTTGGTCCAAATGTTTGCATCTATGGTGCAACCCATCCCTTGGATCCAGCTGTTCGAGAAGGGTTGAAGGGACCGGAGTGTGGAAAGGAGATACATATAGAAGACGATGTATGGATTGGTGGTAGTGTGATTGTACTTGCGGGCGTGCGAATCGGAAAGGGGAGTACTGTTGGGGCTGGCTCGGTGGTAACAAAGGTCAGTAGATCGATATTTAATAACTCTATTTCCCCGTTGAGAGAAGCTAGGCTGACTTTTGTAGGATGTTCCTCCCTTCCACTTTGTCGCGGGTAATCCTGCCCGAGTCATTCGTCGGATTGAAACAAGCATGAATCCCGAGAAGCAGCAATGATTGTGCCCTGGGTGTGGGTGAATGTTGATTTTGTTGTAGCTAACTGCAATATTCTTTAGTAAATTTATCTAATAGAATTCACTGCTGAGCGCCAAATAAGCTTCGGCCTTCATATTGGGGCTTGAGATGAGATGCAGGAGGGTAGCACATAGTAGAGAATGTGACTATAGAATCGAAGGTATTCTTTAGTTTACTGTCCTAGAAAGAAAGAGCATATCTCTTATTGATCAGCTAGCGTAAAAAGACTTGCGACACAATAAACAGCCCTACTGGTACAAAATAACGTATATAATCTACTCACAAGATAGCCGCGGCGGTATTTCTTACTTTAGGGGTTGGTTAACGCTAACTTTAGAAACTAGGGTATATACTAAGCTTATACCTATATTTTCTATACAGTTGGTTCATTTCGAGTAATATCTAGACGTATTAGTCGGAATATAGGCCCTTATAATCGCCGAACTGACCGTTTTCTATCAGTAAGAGTATATACGAAATAGAATTGTTATCACTATTGATATATCTAATATCTAATAAACCATAGAAAGGTGCAGTCACGCGTTAGCTGATCCGGAAAGCGAAGGGCACGTCTAACCGCTCGGAAGGGGTGATAGCACTTTCGAAATGGGTATGATTTCCAAATGCAACATGCTGACGGGTATTACCCACGGTCAGAAAAGGTTCAAGGGCCTTAGACAGAGAGCCTCTTCGATGGGGAATTGGAGGCCCAGAGATGGGCGTCACTTCTAGTCGGTCTTCTCGGGTTCCCTTGTTCGAAAGTTTCGTGCGAAGAGTCTCTATATTGGATGGTTTCACCAACTCTAGGAATTCCGGCAAATCAAACACCAGTCTTTCCTCTGACTCGCCGCTTTTTCTCTCGGGGACCTGGTCGTCATCCCCTGGTTCGCTTGGTTTGTCGGACGAGGAAGATATTTTCATGACAAACAGCACATTGCGATCAACATCGTACTGCAAGAACTCCTCAAGACATTGATTTTCTGTGTCAGTTGTAGAATGACCCAAAAAGTATTGCCCAATGAACCAATAGAGAAAAATCAACCACACAGAAACGCTATCTTGGGTGGCTGGTATTGTTGTTGAACTCTTGACATTGCTTTTGTAAATTGCGGGAATCAGCTCCAAGTTAACCATCTCTCGGGGGGTATGTCCTTCATGTAGGAGGTCTCGTACAAATCCCAAGTCTTTAGGTCGAATAGCAGCTGTAAGGAGTAAAACTGAGCCTGACTTTGAGTTCTGCTGTTTCAAGCGGCTCATCAGATCAGGCGAGAGAAAACGCTGTAGATCGTATCGAACAACCTCGCACAGGAAATCGGAAGAATGGTACGATGGTCTTATTGTGAGCCAATGACTAGTAACGCGGTGCAAACACTGGCCAAAAATGAGACTTTTAGGCCCTGGGATCTCGCTTTTGGAGAGAAATTTTGTTCTTGGTACTACCGTTTGGGCATGATGCTGAACAATGTGGTTGGCCTCCTCGAAGAAACGCGACGGCACGTTGTATCCGCGAATTTCATTAGCAGCACACATCACGATAAAAACCCTATTGAGAGCCATCCTCAAAGGGCCATCTCTATACCCATCCGCGCTTATTTCCATATCTTTTCTTGTGGATAACGCAAATTTGAATTCTGCAAGCAACAATCGAAATATCCCGGAGTAGACGTCGAAGTCAGGTAAACGGGCTCGCATTTGCACTTCCCGGGTATTCACAATGTATTCACGGGCACTTCGGTGAAGAAACTGCACTTGATAGGTGAAATAATCATGTCCGTCTTTTTCACGGCTGCGCTGTGGTGACATCTCGAGCATGCCACGAGAAAGGCGATCCAAAGTACACGAGACACGCTCAAGTCGCTCATTGATCTCGCTCACTTTACAGGGTTGCATCGGTAGTTCATAAGGAAACCCCGGGTCCTCGAGGTCCTCCAGCCATGAATATGCTATCGCATTCAGGACAATTGGCTGCCACTGGCAAAAATCGGGAGTTGTCAAGAGGAACAATTGGTCCGAGAGCAGCTGGTCGTCCGGATCTATGGAGCCAAGGATTTGGTCAAATAGCTCATCCAGCCCCTTGGGCATCAAGTGAAGCTTTCTCTCTAAGTCTTTCTCGCTGCCATGGTATCCTATACTCTTCAAGAGAGAGCGCACAACCAGCCGCGCCCAGAGAAATACCCCATCTGAAGAGTTCACAATCTCAATGACTAAGTTTTCATATGAATCCTTGATTCTATCGAAGTTGGGGTCATTTTCAAACATGGCCATACTAAACTTGGAGATATCGTCTCGGGTGAGCTCGTGGATGCTAACTTGATGATTCAGGTCATTTGCGAAGGACTGAACAAAAGGAATGTGAGGGCGACTGCTGACACAAAGCTTCATATTCTTCGCTTGTGTTGTCCAAGTCTGAAGATCTCGAGAAAGCCTCCAGTGATCGACCTCGTCACCCTCAAATTCATCCAGCCCATCAATGAAGAAGCAGAAATAACATTCCGAACTGCTTTCTTCCTTAATCAGGCGAGTGAATGCGTCTCTGACTTCATGAAAGCGGATCTGAGTCACCCCGGTATTTGAACTCGCCCACAACTCTGGGAAGAGCCGGGGAATTAAAATGGGCATTTGCCTGCACGTCTCAAATAGCAGACTTCGATATAAACCCTCAAGAGACATCTGTGTCTTATCTCCCGAATTCCAGAAGAAGAATCGGGCAAATATCAAGGGTCGACCCTCAGCCCAGCTTTCTAACCTTTTCTTGACCCGAGACGACTCGGACAGAAACTTCATCAAAGTTGATTTCCCAGAACCTGCCTTGCCTGATATATGGAAGATATAGCGGCCAGAGTCGAGCCAGGTGAGAAACTCCTCTCGAGTACACTTTCGCAGGGACTCCTGCTTTCTCAGCCACCTCTTTTCCCTCCTCCCCTCGCCATACATTTCTTCGGGCTCGAGAGGAGGGTTGCTCGGGTCATCTACTGATTGAGACTTTTCGTCGACCATCCACTCGAAAGTCCCACTCTCGGCATTTCCGATGCTGTCCTCGCGACTGTACATCGATTTAAATGCCAGAAGCTCCAGGATCTTATTTCCTCGAGAAATCGAAGTTGTGACAGTTTGGAATTCGAACAAAGAAGCGCCCAATTTTGCCAACGGTCCCTGTTGTGACCCATGTGATTTATCCTGTCCTGGAGCCGACTGAAGGGAGTTCACCAGCGTCGAAATAGTTTGGTACAACTCATCTAGCTGGGTTGTCGACTGATTTTGAAGAGCTTTGCCCTCACTCCGAAGGGCCTCCAGTTGGCGATTGACTAAAGAGTTCTGCTCATCGGTTTTCTGGCTATATTTGTCTCGGTATCTCCACGTGCCTAACCACTTTACTAACAGACGTACCTGAACATAACTTGTAGTCGGATCAAGATTTGAGATTGATACCCATGTAGTCGCCGCTCAATCGAATCAATCTCCTTCTCCTTCCGCATGCTATGCCACTTCACCACCAGGCCCTCCCATTTTGATTTCTTATCTCCCACTCTCAAACGTCGGAGGATTTGATAGAGTTCTCCGGACAAGGAATGGCAGTTTGCAGCCAAGGCACAGAGCTGCTTTTCGTTTTCGGTCTGGGCCGGGATGTCTGTGACCAAGTCCTGTGTGATAGAACTCAAATCTTCCACCAAAACACTCAGACGTTCGTTCTCGGGGGTCATGCCATTCGCAGTAGAAAGAACTTTGTTTACTCCGGAGATAACGTTATAGGAAATGTCAATAAATGTAAGGATGTTGCCGGCAAGGCTAATAGCCGTAAGGGGGTCCATAGCGCCGACCTAGTGCATCATGCAGCAGAACAAGATACTTTCAGAGGAAAATTAGAAGCCTTGGAAGGTGTTGGTGAGATTAAGCCCTTATGCGGGGTGACGTTGCCCCTCAATTTCAGCCCCATCGAATGTGCACATTCACATCTCCAGTTCATCCCGCGTAATAACAGGTATCTCTTGCCCTACCCCGTAGTGTGATAGGTATGATTTTGGACAGAGGCTGGTCACTCATTTATAACGTCACATCATTTTAGAGCTCATGACTGCTCCTCCGGTTTCCCCTCCTCCCCTCCCATCATGAATTCTCGTATCTTTGAGAGGCAAAGGTAGTCGTTTTCCGGCTTTGCATAGATTATGCCCTCCATTGCCCAGCCGCTAGTTCCAGCCTTGAGGCCTAGTTCATCCCCTTTTCTCTTGCATGAGTCGAAGTCGATAATCACAGGTCTCTCCCCATCCATCATAATGTTCCTCGGATAAGATCATTATGTATAATGTCCAAAGAATGCATATGCCGGACGCCACTCTCAATGCCTTCAAGACAAGAGGCTTTGTCGAAAGGAGTTGCCTCTTTTAGCTTCCGCCACAAGGTTATAGGATATCATGAAAACAGAGCCCCGTTACCTTCCCATCCATAGTAACACAACCAAAGTACTGAGCAATATTAGGGTGTGGGTGTTTTTGAAGCACTTCACACGCTTCTATCTCGGCTAATACCTGACGGGCAGGCTCTAAGGAAGCAGGAGTATCTCTCTGAATGAATTAGATAATAACATAGTATAAATGTGGCTAGGTCATACCTGATGCGTAAGCTTTTTAGCAAGGCACCACGATACTAGATAGGACTGATGCTTGAACTATGCTTGCTAATCGTGGCCGAAGGGGTAGTGTGGACTTGTGGCGGTTGTAACAGTAGTGACCAGAGGGAGTAGAGGCATATATGGGATGTTTTCAGAATAGGATATTTTTCGTAAAGTTGTCGGGGTGTTGAAATAGGCAAATGTTGGTCAATGTGGGGTTGATTCTTTTCTGCCTCTCGTAAACCCGAGAGACTCGCTGGATTTGTCAAGCCTCCAGGGCCGAGGAGGATGGTTATGGAATGATTTTGGGTCAGCTACAACCTTCTATCAGCTTTGACAAGGAGTAATAGCCAAATCATGCTCATCTCCAACCTTGGAAGGAGTTTATACAAGAGCAAACAAACGCTAGTCGAAGAGATGGGACACTTTTTATTGATATCACATCAAAGGCCAAAGCTATTAGAAACCAGACACTGAACCGAATAAAAAAAACATGATGTATTGATTCGGAGAGGAAGCTCCAAGATCTCCAACCACAGACTCGTAATAAAATATGCCCTCAGATTGAAAACTACCATGTTTTGTCACTCGTCACCGGCGTACTTGTCGTTTCCTTGGAAGGCGTACATACGAAGCACATATACAGAGCCTCGGAGTGTGAAACAGCTTTTTTTCGTCACTGGGCTATTACACGAGGATGGGGATCTGGGATATCTCATGATGGATAGTACTCGATAGGGAACAGGACGCCTGGCGAAGAACACCAAAGGAGATGTCGATTTCGGAGACTTAGAATATATCTAGCAATGCTGGGTGATGTTAGTTGAACACATTCAGATACTGAATTAATGCCAAGACAACGCTCAGCAAGAAATATCATCCGAGTCTCTTCAGATTTCTGTTCTTTGCTCAATCACACACCTATGGGCCGATGTCTTCTTCCACTCCGACGTATCAGGGGGATGAAGTCCATGGCCCGACGGAATTATTGACCCGACATGTCATGAAAGCTCTTGTGAGGTTTATCGTCATCAAGACCTGGCATAAGATATTCCTTTGAATCTGCATTGTAGCCAGAGACCAGGGAATGAGCTTGAAAATACATACCTCTCGTGATAGAGAGAAAAGGAGTGGACCCGATGAGCGCGTCGCTGTTGCATCTTCTCAAGCGATAGGAGGTCGTTGTTGGCGTTGACTGGCAGGGTTGTATCGATTCAACATCAAGCAGTGCCTAGACGCGACTTTCTCGGGCAGGCTGGCATCGATACTGATAGCTGCCCCGGTCAGTCAACAACAACCTTTTATCGCATGAGATGATGCAAGAGCATAAGTGGCACTGTTAGATGGTGATTGGGGACTCCGGAGGTAGTCATAACTGTAGGTATGTAGTTTTTGGGAAATCGCACGCGTAGCTTGGTGAGCAGATGTCGCGTTATGCAGTGAGAATGTTTACCGCCTTACTTAGTTCCCGCATAATTAGGACCGCAGCACGTGATAGCCAGCGTTGTTCCACCGATGAACGCATTGGCTTGCATATACATTTTGTTGGTAAAAGCTCATGCCTGCCCCGGTCGGCTACTTGTGATGGTCAGTACACCTAGTATCCATAATGGCTCCCCCAACATCCAAATGGTGGCAAGAGCTTGACGATTCCGACCTCGACTACGGATTCGATTCTGACGAACTGGATACTAGATATAACAAACTTGATCGACACACCTCCCACGAAAATCAAAACGAACCGAGAAACACTCAGAAGATAGACCATAAGGGTGTGATTGGAAGCATGTCTTCTTGGCTCCAACGTCAGGCTGGTTCCTCTCACGGACAGCTTGCGACAGCGGCTGTTGTATCGGGCGCAGCTGTCGCAGGTGCCATCCTTGGGTATCAGTCATACAAGCGCAAGGAAGCTGTTCATGATCTGAAAGCTTCTATCCCAAGCTTAGATGATTTGCACCCCGCAGAAATGGTGAGATACGCCGGCGAAGCTACGCATCCAGTTCCTAGCAACAGGACAAAAAGAACTGATTTGGAGAACCTATAGCTCACCGATTTTGGCGCTGCCTCGAATGGAGTACCTCTGAGCAAAGAAGATGAGCGCGGTGCAGCTTTGGCTCGCAGAGCGCAACGGGGTGATTACGATGATGGTGTGTGACCTTTCTATGACCTGCTTTCAAGATCCTATCTGACTTGGCCTGTCTCGCTTTGGTAGACTTGATTCTTGAACAGCTTGCCCGCAACCGTGTATTCCTCGGCGATGAAGGCCTTGCCAAGCTTCGATCATCATTCATTGTCGTTGTCGGCTGTGGTGGCGTCGGTTCGCATGCCGCTGCCTCACTGGCCCGATCGGGCGTGTCTAAAATCCGTCTTATCGATTTTGATCAAGTCACTCTATCATCGTTGAACCGACACGCCCTTGCGACATTGGCTGATGTTGGCACACCGAAGGTCCATTGCATCCGGAGGCGATTGGAACAAATCGCACCGTGGGTTATGTTCGATTGTCGGAATGAGCTCTATGGAAAGTCCGTGTCTGAGGATCTCCTCGGCCCGTGGACTCTGACACATGACGGAGAGGGCCGACGACCAGATTTCGTGTTGGATTGTATTGATAACATTACGTCCAAGGTAGAGTTGCTACACTACTGCCACTCGAATTCCTTGCCTGTGATTTCGTCGATGGGCGCAGGATGCAAGTCGGACCCGACTCGCGTTGTGGTCGGCGACATTTCGCTTAGCACTGATGATCCTTTGTCCCGTTCTACACGCCGCAAGCTGAAGCTTCTCGGTGTTTCGTCTGGCGTTGCGGCCGTCTTCTCGACAGAGAAACCGGGCCCGGGCAAAGCTACCCTACTTCCTCTTCCCGAGGATGAATTCAACAAAGGTCAAGTTGGTGAGCTTGGAGTTCTGCCTGACTTCCGAGCCCGCATCCTCCCAGTACTAGGGACCATGCCTGCAGTATTTGGTTACACGATAGCCAATCACGTTATCTGCACTATTACTGGTTACCCGCTTGACTACAACATGGGTGCCAAGGGCCGCGAGAAACTATACGATACCATCTTGAGTTCTCTGCTAGGCTTGCATGAACGAATGAGTAGACAAGTTACCGGTCAAGATACCCAGGGGCTACGCGTCCCACTCAGCAAGGATGATATTGCATTCGTGGTGGAGGAGGTATACCGGGGGAAGAGCGTGATCAGTGGCTTATCTACCCGACTGGCTCTCGTTCCCTGGCAAACTCCTGCTCACGGATGGAATATGGATCTGAGCCTTGAGAAAGAAGGACAAAAGTCCATCCCGATCAACATCAGTGACCTGGTTTGCATGACCAAGGAGGAAGCACTTCACCACGAGAAAGAGGTATTTAAGGGTGGCAAGAAGGTGGAAGAGGTATATGATGAGACTGTTCTCCAGCGTGTAAGCCTGCGAAAACGGGAAGCAGAGGAGTATGATCAGTACCGGGGGTAGTGTAAAAATATAATAAACGAAAAGAATAAAAGTTGAGTTTGAAGCATCAAAGGCATAAAAGAAGATAACTAAAGAGCGGGTCAAAGGGGTATACGTCAGAGCGAGAGATAACCTTTTTTTTCTGCCTGAATTTTCTTTATATTGACCTACACCTCAGTTTTACCAAATAAATGCACATATGAAATACACACCCTAATTCAAGGATATAGAGCCCAACTCGGGCGCAGGAGGATGGCATCTCACGACTCCCATTCGCGCGACTTCAAGTCCAACAGCGCAGAGACCGACTTCCAACCGACCACAACCCACCATCCCTCCTACTCAAATCAATTTACACCTTCCCGCCCACTGATTGATTCTGCAAGAAACGGATGGCAATCTAGAGCCGCCCATGAAGGTCCGCAGCGTTCCAGCCCCGCGGATGACATCAAATCCCAGGGATGGGCCCAAATGGCTCTCTCGGTAGTTTCCGCGCCGCGGTTCCGGCGCTGTGTACTAATCTACGTCGCGATATTCACATGTGCATGGATCGGTTGGCGAATGCTACTTTCTCCGCGACTGCAAGAGCAAAGCTCGCGTTTGCATTCACACGATCCGACACCTGAAACAGAGGCAGATGGGTTGTTCGGGACGAATTTGCCCCCTCAGTTTGACGCCTTGGTTCATATGCATACGCTGGACCCAGACTTGGTGCCTGGGAATGTAGCCGGGGATGTAGCAAAGTCTAGTCGGAAGCGGCTAGTTATTGTGGGCGATGTGCATGGCTGTAAAGAAGAGTGTAAGACATGTCCCCTCAACCAGGGGAATTATCAGAATTAACAAACCTACAGTGGAGCGACTTCTTGAGAAAGTCTCCTTCAACCAAAAAGGCGGCGATCATCTTATCTTTGTCGGTGATATCATCAACAAAGGACCAGACAGTACAGGAGTCGTGGACTTAGCTCGGCAGTATTCGGCATCTAGTGTCCGTGGAAACCACGAAGATCGAATTCTGCTTCTTCGACAGGAGATGGTGAAGACAAAAACTCTCTCGGCCCCCGATGACGACGAGGAATCTCGTTTCTCATCTAGAGAACTTAGCGAGCGCGCTCTTGCGCGCTCTTTGAGCGACGAGCAGGTCAAGTGGCTGGAAAACTGTCCGGTGATTCTGAATATCGGTCAAGTCTCAGGCATGGGCCAGGTGGTTGTCGTTCATGCGGGACTAGTACCGGGCGTCGAGCTTGAGAATCAAGACCCTTCTAGCGTGATGACTATGCGGACCATCGATTTAGATACGCATGTACCCAGTCCGAAAAAGAAGGGCATGAATTGGGCTAAAGTATGGACTGTCCATCTATGCCATTCCTCTTATCTTGTCGTCATACTGATATTCTTTCAATCTAGATGTTTGATAAGCATCAGTCCAAACTATACTCGAGCCTCGAGACTTCAACTGAAGATCCTCTTGCGAGCACGATGACTGTCGTCTATGGCCACGATGCTTCTACCTCGCTTTCTATCCGCACATTCACCAAGGGTCTTGACTCGGGTTGTGTGAAGGGGGAAAAACTCACGGCTTTGGTTATAGAGGACGGCGGAAAACAAAGTATTGTACAGGTGTCGTGTCATGACCATCTCAAGGAATGACAGTTCTTCATGGTTGCTTTGAGTCCAGTTTCATAGGGAATGTATTATTGTGGGATGGTGACCATTGCATGGTACACATTGGCATGTGCGGATCACCATCGCGAAGTATGTATGGCCAAATCCAATAAATTCCAGAAATTGCATCTCAGAACTTGCTTGATCCATGTTGTAGTCAGAAACGAATCCTAATGGCAGTGTCACCAACAACCGCTGGGCCAAATGCCCGCCCATCTATTTATACATACTGGACAGTGTATTTCTCATATGAAGTAAAAATAGAAAAGAGCTACCCTCTTGGCTTCACCTTGGGCATTAAAACCTAACTAGTAATTAGATACAAGTCACAGTATCAGTGGTTGGAACCCATGGGATGAACTACAATCTAGCCCATGTTTATTCCAACAACTCACAGGATTTCACTACTGACTACTGACGGGGTGATCCAGTGGGATGGATCAGAGTCTGTTTACCGATTGAACATGGATGTGAGCTGGGCAGAACTCTAGAACCTACTGTACGAGGGACTAATCCAGGGGTAAATATCACTAAAGACCCGAGGGCCGAGATCCCATGCGTCACAGATCTATTAGAAATATCTATTCCAAGAGAATGACAGTATGTACAAGTGGCATTGTTGTATACAGGGTTCTCTATTCAGATTCGGATCCGGATTCTTGATCCTCGGAGAGGATCTCAGGATCAGGGAAAACAAAATCACCATCAGCGCGCCAAACGGCAGGTGGAGAAAAGTCTTCATACCAAAGACCGCCCAAAGCATTAGTGTGAACGAGTCCGAAACGGAAATACTCCAACTCGTGGGGATAAGTACGAGACCAAGTGAAATCCGGCAAATGCTTGCCATCCTTAGGTCGGAAGACCTGGAAGCGCTCGACGTCGTTGACCAAGACGGTGAGGCCATCGGCATGGGGCTCGAGATCCGGGAACGAGAAGACGAGATTGTTTGCATCCGTGATGGAAGGAGGGTATATCTTTGGTGGAACGGTACCGAGTTTGGCACCATCAAGGAGAGCGGCTGGAGTTTGGAGGATCGAATCGAAGCCCCAGCGGGCGATGCCGTTTATAAAAAGACCAATAAGGATACCTGAGTATAGGAGACTGGGTCGCGTTTGCATAGTTGTGCCAGGTAGGAAGAGAAGAGAGAGAATATAGTGGTGGATACGTAGGTTCATCTTAGGAACAGCGACAAGGATGAGAACGACTGCAACGAGGATGCCGTAGATTTTTATCGTAGGGAAGAAACGGCCCTCGCGACGGAAACAGTGTGCTTGACCAAAGGCGATTGCGATCAAAGAGCCAAGTAAAATGATGAGAGCTGTGAGAGCACCCGGTTGTTGTTGGATATCGTGGGGCGTGAGGCGAGAGATTGGAATGCGATCAAATGTGTCTGTATTCAGGGCGCCAACCCAGCAGCCGCCTAGCCACAGAACAGTCTTGTCCCAGTGTGCATCCAAATTTTTGAGTGTGTGCCGGACGCAAAAGTAATATAGCACGAATCCCACAAATGCACCAGGCAGGAATCTACCGAGTGCAATTGAGACAAGGTCATAATAGCTCCCCATCGAGGGTGGATCGGACGCCATGGCGACTTGGAACCAGACAATGAAATAGATCATGGAATAGAACGCCGGCGCCGATGTCACGACCAATGACAAGATGGTGGTCCAGATCAATGTGAAGGCGAAGAGCGACCAGCGCGCATCGGAACACTTGATCGGTTTTGTCTCGGTCGAGTCTGGGGATGACGCTTCACTACTGAGTCGGAATGACATCGGGAAGCTCGAGAGAAACTCGATACTTTCAATTCCATGCTGCACGGTAGAATGGAAGTTTTTCTGCTCGCCAGTCCGGTGCAGGATGCCACATCCGCCTCTCGCGTCATCAATTAGACCTGCATGCAGTGCCGACGCGCAAATTGACGAATCACCGCGGTAAATGCCGCTGGTATGACCATCCACCTTAAATGGCTTACCTCCCACGACTAACGGTCGGTAATTGAGCTCCTGGTCACCAACAACATACGGCTCCAATAGAATCGCCGCTGCACAGCCAGAAGGACATCGGAACGCAAAGGATTGGTCTTCGAATGGACGACAAGCATCACCATTCATTCCACAATTCGTGGCATTGCTCCTAGATAGATAGGTCAGGTTTACAAGGTCGGATCTGATTAGGGATAAAAATAGAAACACACCATAAGCGATTGTGACACGACAGCTTGACGGGCTGTCCATACCCCGGAACATCTTGGCCCGCGACAGAAGCTTTCAACCATGCAAAGAAAACGACAATCCAAAAGACTAAACCACCAAAAAGGAGCGCAATCTTTGAATTCCTGTGCGGAAATTTCTGATCTATCAGACGCGCCGGCGCAGCCTGTAAATGAGCGAACCAAGGGTTAATATGATAGACATGCGCCGGCGTCGGGCCACGGAGCCATGCGCAGAATCCGGAGGGCGTACAAGAAAACGGCGGATCTCGCTCGAATTTCTCCGACCGAGCCTCCATGGGTAATTCCGAGGGCAGAAGAGGCACGTCGCCTAATTCTAAGTCGAAACTTAGTTCATCACTGTCGCGTTCTTCATCCTTGTACCGCGACCCGATCTCCTGTAAGGGATACTCGGAGGTCGACTCTGGTGAGGGCGATCGCGCACTTGCCCCGGCAGAGTCCGGTCGCGACTGCATTTTTATATACAAATAGTTTACCTGAGCTCCGGAGCTCTCAGGGGGAAGTGGTGGAATTCCTCATTTTCATCGACCCTGACCTCGTTGGAATTTCTTGGCTTTTAGTCATCCGGATTGATGTCCCGGACCAAATCCGGACCTCATCTCTCTCAGAGTTGATATTAACAGAAGCAACATAAGTCTACTAACCTACAGTTCTTCTTCAAAAACCTGCACCCTTCAAAGATGTGACACTACTTCACCAGCAGAATACTAGTTATTTGAGACCAACCTCAGGAGGGCGCCGGTACCCTATCCAAGTGAAAACACTCGCGGATGTGATACATTCTTGTAGCCCGGCACTTAAGTAACATACTTTCATTCGCCTTGCCTTGGTCTTGATCACAGCGCATCCACGAATTGGGAGGTATATGCATTTCAATATAACACAGTTGCTCGTTGCCCAGTAGCTACGAAGCCGAAGATGAACCGCCGAAAATGTTTACAATTTCCAATCAAAGCTGCTTTACAAAGTTGACGGAGGGTTAAGGTCTTTTATTCTTACATAGATCAATGACTTGTGTTACTGTGAGTCAAAAAGTAGCTAAATGCTTCTAGAGTTCCAAAGAACATAAGTTATATTGAAACATATTGCGAAGATACAATGACTGAAATATAATAAGGATATGACTCTTTTTGCCTATATTTCGCCTTTTCTGGAAAAGAAACAGAGGAAATCAACGTAGGAATAGACAATGAGAACTTACCGAGGTTGTAAACTAGGTCTTCTATAAAGACCCATAGTGCTAGGATCTGGAGGGGACTCAGGTTCAGAATCCGACACGAACTCATCGACCGGTCGTGGGGGCAATGCAGGGGTATAAGGACCAGGAACCGGCCGGTTATAAGCCAAATAAGTGTCGACGGGGGGAGGAAGACGAGGCCGCACCGGAATTCGAGAATGCATACGAGCGAAACTAGCCGGACGAGGGATCCGAAGAGCATTCACATATGGCCGCGGGGCAGAATCCTCAGCCTGGGAAATCGTAGGAGGGAACGGGACAACTAAATCCCAGAGAAATGACTGAGTCTCGAGGTTGCGGGCGACTTCAGCAGGGGCCCTGTGGCGCATAAACTCACTAGTCAGCATGTTCAAAGTGTCAGCGGTATAGATGCAGGCCCAATCAAACTCGGACATAGGGTTCTGTCCGGGACGGTCGATCAGAACGGTGAAAAATCCAGCAGGTACAACACCCACAAGCTCATTTGTCGGGGAATCAATGGCCATCATCTGGCCGGCTCGCTTAAGTTGTTCCAATGACCTATGAAGCTGACCTACCCTACCGTCGAGTTCGTTCTCGAGCGATAAGCCATTGTGTAGGATGTCGTCAATGAGCTGCTGGCATTTGGCTTGGAATCCGTTGCGTGTAGTCTGAAAGAGTCGGGACGATGTGGTATCTAGCATAACCGACATGACTTCTCACCGATGCCAGAAGACCGAAGCTGTAGTGAAATAGATTGTGATGGGTTGTGGCAACGATGGTCAGGGAAAACGAACACTATTCGAAAGTCAGTAAGAGTTGATTTGTCGATACTGTTCCAGCTTGATAGATCGATGGAATAGTGTATAACGGTTCGACACAGCCTATTTATACCAGTTCTATGCCATAACTCGGAGAATGGCGAGGTTGTTACTGGGAATGAAAAGCAAGAGGCGAACAAAGTCATCAAGAAGACAACAAAGACGAAAAAGGGAACATATAAAACAAGGGGACCTGGGAATAATGGCCTTGTTGGCGATTCTTTGTCACTCAAGCCGGGTACCAGAAACTAGGCAATGGTGTAGGTGTAACAAAGAATTTGAGAGCTATTTAAGCAACGTGCATAGCTGCTGTTACTTAAAGATGCAGACAACAATGTCCAAAGAAACTATATGTATTGAGTATAGATGCCAAAAAGGAGTATCATTATAGCAAGATCAAGAGTGAAATTGCAAAGAAGACACCAAAATATTAGTCCGCCAAGGGTATCAACGTAAGTCGTAATTCGTTGTAGCGCGAGAAGAAAAGGATAGAACAAAAGGCATGAATACCACAAAAGGACTGATGTCACAAAGGGCGATGCACATACTCGGTCGTACACGACGGAGTACTGCTGATGGCTGCTATGCAGCGACTTGATAAGCCGATGCAATCATCTAGACAGCGGAACGACGACCCCAGCGGCGGCGGCGACTGTTCGAATGTCAGTATCAATCAATCAAGACCGTGTTATTAGAAGGTATGCATTGATCACTTACACCCCATCGGTAGTATTGTTATCGCGTTTGCGGAAGGTAAACCAGATCCCCTAAAGGCCTATTAGTACTTATTCATACGCGGATTGGATAATCTCATCACATACCACGATAGCAGAAACAAGCCAGACAATAGCAGAAAGGAAGCTGAAGGCCTCGGCTGCCTTCCACCGGCCACAAATCCGATCCCCTCTAAACCGCCAGGACCAGATACTGCCACAGTCCAACTGGCGGAGGGTGTCGACGAGCACACCGAACGCAGCGAACCAAGCAAGGGAAATGATTATGTCCACTAAATTCCAGTAAGCATTGGTCTATATTCACCAGAGAGTATACCATGCACATACTAGGCCAGGAGAAGAATCCGGACGAGAATGGGATCAGCCATATGAGACCCAGCAATATCGATAACCCGGCGATTACCTCAGTATAGATCCATCGGGACTGAGGCCACCAGTCAACATCTACACCGCTGTGGTTAAGTTGGGCAAGGTAGTGTCCAATAACACCTGCAACGACCTAAAAGAAGAGTCAGATGTGGTTTATAAATTGGTATAGATCAGGGTTATTCACAGCTGCAAAGGCAATCTCCGCAATGCGGAGGATGATGGACGCGAGGCGTGAAATGACGGGCATTATGAGGATATACTCAAATCAGAGAGCTGTTCCTTAATAAATCAGAATATGAAGGACGTGGTTGTATAAGGAGATGTGTGTTAATCTTATGCGAGAGGATGTGGCGTGGGATGGGGAACATGGACTGGGGAAACAAGAAGCTATATAACATGTCAGGTCGCACAGACAGGCAAATCCCAAGAGGGACAGTGTATCTTCAAAGCAAGGGCCAAATGTGAAAACCCAATAATAAAAAAAAGGCAAAAATCAATTATACAGAACCCAAAATAAAGCACAGCTTGCATTAGGGCCAATAGAGTAACTCCAAGCCCACTGATGTCAGATCAATTCCAAGTACAGCGAGTTCTTTCGAACAAGCCGAGGTCACTATTGGTCAAAGTATACAGTAAACACAACGTGCCCAACGCATTTTCTAGGCTTGGGTGGGTAAAAGATCGTCTTCTTGTGGCAGACTGACCGCTGATGTGGACTGTGTGGCTGAATGCTCCTCAACAATTGATCGGAGCAAGGAGTGGGCCTACGGGTTGTCAGGATTAGGTGGGTACGTAGTATGTGGACAGGTACTGCCTAGTCCTGGAAGTATTTTGATAGCACTGTTGCCTTGATCTTATTATCCCTGTCCCCATACCCAGTCTCCCCATGTTAGAAAATATCCCGGGATGTGCTGGCGTGGAATACGGGATCTTCTGTGCTGGATTGTGATATACTTCAGTGGCTTGCTTTTTGAGTGGGTTGACTGCCGATCCCATCGACTATTGGCGATAGCTCTGATTGTTATCCAGAATTGGGTTGGGTTTTAGGGCGATCATTAGTGCTGTTTGACAGCTGTTGTTTTCTAGACTTATTGCCGAGCTACCGTTGACAGGGAAGATCCGGTTTAGAGATTTAGAGAGGCCTTCCCTTTCACTATAAACACGACACTGACATCATGTTAGAAAGTCATCTGATCCTTGCTCTTCAGCCCTATGACGTGGGGCCATGAGACTTGACAAGCTTGATTTTATTTTTTGTACTTCTAATAATCATGCTGTAACTATCCTTCATGTTGATTAATAAATTCAAAATCACTAACAGTTCACGTCGGAGTGGAAATATAGCAGAATTAGGCAGACATAACAAAACATCGAAAAGTACTCCGTACTCCGCACATGGATGCAGGAAGAGCTCAGAATCATGCAGGCGATGCAAAGTTTACAATCTGAGCTAACATACTCCGTAGTGGGCCGTTGATGCTATGAATAGTAACGGCCGCAAGAGGTTATAGCCACTTTGGCAAAAGCCAAGAGACAAGTGAAATAATGCTGCCTACTTCCGTACAAGGTCCTGGAAAAAAAATTATATACGCCGATGCACAATGACCTTCTATTCGCAACACCTGAATCACAAAGTAAAATCTCGATTTTATGATAGTTCCGTCAAGGCAAGAACGCTATGTATTCTTTCGATCCAAGTGCCATGCCATCACATCGCGGAATATCCCCTTGGAACCACTCTCGATGGTATCACCATGGCATGGAATTAAACGATCGAAGTCCCACTGATCAATCCTTCTCATAGACTCAGTGAATGCAGCCCGGTCTTGCGACGAGAGAATATACCATGCAAACCGTCTGTGCCAAGTAGCCGGCGGCTTGGTGGACAACAGTGGCATAATAAGCCTTGTAAAGAAATTAGTTCCCGACGCTTCGGGGGTCTTTGAATACTGCTCCTTAGCAGGCAGATTAAAGATCAAATCCGCCTCGATGAGAGTGCGTGTGGGCTTATGCAAAAACACCAACTCGCGCGACCCATGGCCATACACGTATTCGCTCTCAAACTCAGAATCAAACTCCTTTGATATAGAGCGCGGCAGTTGATCGTCCTTCTTGAATATGTGCTCGAATGGGGTGTCCTGGAATTCCGGGTTCGATTGCCGCTTCTCATAGAGACCCTCCGGGGCTAGAATCTCTGCTTGCGGGTATGCCTTCTTCCATGGGGTGAGGTGGAGGTGGTGTTCAATATCTGGTGCCGTGATGTATTTCACGTTTCCGCCGAGAGATTCGACTGTCTCGCGGACTTCGGGTGTTAGGCTGACGGGTGAGAATACTGCGAGGGAACCGGTGGCAAGCTTAACTGTCGCATGCAAGAAGAGTTAGCACTAGATGTTGTATAATGCCCCCGTGAGCTTGACATGACTGCCCGTCATGTCCTGTCTCCCGTGGTGATGTGCGCCTGGTGGGTGGGTTCTGTAAGGGTCAGCACTCACCCAGTGTCCCTCGCCCGCCGAACTGCAGGCGTCCGAATCGAGCGAATGGCAGACTCATGGTCACAATTTCTGGCGTCACATGGCGAATTACCATGGTCGCAGAAGGGTTGATCGGAAAGAGCTGTGGCATTTTGGCGCCTTTCTTTCTTTTTTCTTTTTTTGTACTTTTAAGTTCCAGAGCTGCTGTCCCTGGCGGAGATGTCTTGGTCAATGTGTGTTGGAGCTGCAGATATTGTAAAGCTCACAGCGATAGACTAGAGAAAAATTCAATAGTAAAATAGTTGACTGAAGAGAGTTAGGAAGTCTAACGGACAAGCAAGTGGCCAGACAATGACGTAGGCATATCTGCTCCACTTTGGAGACCGGTGGACCTCCCGAGGTCGGGTGCTTTGTTAAAAGTGACTATGTACATATGTAGTTTTGTTATCATTTTAGAAATTTTACAATTATGTCTTTTAGGCGTACTCTTGATTATGATTTATGTCATAGAATACAACTCGCATAGTTATTCACATAAAGCTAACTTATTGACCAATGCAGCCAAATGATCAAGGGGTATCTTGTAAAACACACATCGACTCGTTGATTCGTGCCTTTGAAAGAAGCTTAGGCATACCAACTCGTGCCAGTCTCTTGCTGTTTCTCTTCGCGGTGGGGGATAATGGACTCCTCAATATTGAAGACATCGATAATTTCGTGCCATGTTTCGTGGTCCAAGCTAAAAACCGCCTGATGTTTTTGCACGCCCTTCTTTTGGGCTTCACTTGGGGCGAATGGCGCAGCGGCATCTGTGAAACTATTAGTGCTTTATCAACCAGTCATGTTGAAGAAAACTCACGCAAGGTCGGCAAGTCACGACTATCTACTGCTACACCCACTGTGCCATCTCGCACGAGGAAACTCACGTAGAACAAGTTTTCCACGCTTTGCCCGAAAGACTTCGGGTTGATACAGAAGCTAAACAAGGGGATGCCCCCGTCGTCTGCCACCCCGTTCTTGTCCATGATCTCTTGCGCCTTCTCTGGGGTAAGATTTTCTTGAACACTAAGCTCTCGCTCGGCATCTTCCTGACATTTATTCTGCCGATTGGCAAGCAGCTTGTTGATCTCCGAACAGATCTGGGTCAGATTCGAGCTTTCCTGCTGGCCAAGATCCCGCTGTTCCATTTCTCGGGGTGCCACGGCTTGCGACGGGTCAATACGATCTTGCGCTCTTCGCTGTGTCATTTGCCGCGTACGCTTCTGTACTGACAGCGGCCCCAGCAACCACCCCGACACGGCCGGGCGTGCATTGCTAGGAAAGCAGGCCGATCGGCCAAGTGTATCCCAATTCATCGCATCGCCATCATCTTCGTCGCTGGCATCGGGGTCCCTTTGACTTCGACCAGCGCGCCCTCGGCGCGCTTGTGTCCCGTTTGTTGCCGTCGCATTGTTTGGGCCGCGACGCATGAACGATATACACTTGGAGACAAACTCGTCTACATCGATACCGGCAGACGTGTCGCCCAAAGCAAGCTGGGTAGCTTTCTTTTGCGTTAGGTCGGCGGTGTTGACGAGGATGCGCGAATCGAGCGTAGCGTCGGCAGTTTGCTTCACTTTGGCGTAGAATTGATTGGCTTGTTCGACAATGTTGAGGATGCCATGATTTCCAGGTTGCATGAGCTCGCCTCGGGTGTCTTTGTGAAACATATTAGAATACCATCACTCGAGTTTTGAGTCCAGACAAATCAGTATACCGTTTAGTTCTCTACCCAGATCTCTAAGTCCTCTCCGCACACTTCTCCGTTCTTCGGGATCCTGATCAGGGTCATAGTATCGTGTGTCGCTGCCGGTTCGTTGAGATGATGCTTGCGACTGCGCAGATCGGGCAGATCGGGCAGACTGAGTAGACCGGCCAGACTGGGTATTTGAGGGGCGATCAGCCAGTCGCGGTCTTTTACCATGTGCACGGGGCGGTGGCATCGCGGCAGTTCTTTTGTTAATACCCTGATGCCGATTTTCCTTATCTGAAGTAGATGCTTCGAGTGAAGATGGTGATGATGGAACTGCGGTGTTTGCTTCGTCCAGGTGTGTGTGAATGTGACGTGCCATACTCGATCAGCGCTAGATGGAGTTGGAACAAAGAAAATTCAACAAAGAAAAAAGGGGCAACTAATTAGGTGCAACAAGACACAGTATTCCAATTTAGACAAAGAAGATACCTCGAAGTACACTAGGCCTTGAAAAAAAAAGATGTGCGGCTACATTTAATGATCGCGAACGCTTTGTCGCGTCGCGTACACCTTGCACGTGATCCCCCGCGTCGGTTGCTTATCGGCCATGACGCAGCGACCTGTTGCTTTCTCCATACGGGGAACAAAGATGGAAGCCTTCACCTTTGCCGTGACCACTCAAGTGGACATTCCTATACGCATTAAGATGTACGTTCTCCATTTATGGTAATTGAGGGGTTTCACATGCTGACGCAGCCACAGTGGCTCGTTGGAGGGGAAACAGAAGCCGATCCCATATACAGTTATTCATGAGAATGCCGAGCTGCGACATATTGCCTCCGTCCAAGACCCCACGTCTGATCTTTACGTGACCGCTCAGATATGGTCGGAGTCGAAGCCACTAGGCGTGCCAATGAAGACCAAATACAAGGCCTTCAAGACCGCTCGAGTATGGAACGAATGGCTAGAGATGCCCATGTCCATCAAGGATACCGAACGTAATGCTCAGCTGGCAATCACCATCGTTGATATGTCTCCACTAGCTGCTGATAGGATTACGCACATTCCATTCGGTGGAACTACAATCACCTTGTTTGACGAAGACGGGAAATTGAGGATGGGCAGACAAAAGTGCAAAGTTTATTTACACAAGGACGCGGATGGTTCGGCTACAACCAGTACTCCATCTATTCCACCACCTAGGCGTCGTAAACCGAATACCCGCGATCCTTCACAGCAGTCACCCGAAGAGGCGGAACTGGAACGGCTTGAACTCTTGATAAAGAAGCACGAAATGGGCGAGATACCACGTGTTGATTGGATGGATCAATTGCTTTTTCGTGAGCTGGAGAAACTGAAGTTAAACGCAGACGAAGCGGCCCAAAGGCGTGCCCTCGAACTTGACGCAGCCCTGCAAAAGCGTCCGAAAGACGAAGATCAGGATGATAGTTCTGATGAAGAGAGCCTCGAAGATGAGTATTTCGACCTTTACGTTGAATTTCCTCGGTTTGATCATCCCGTTGTGTGGGCCGATCACGAGTATCCTCCTCCGCCCATTTCCTCTTGGCCCCAAAATGCACCTCCCCACCCCAATGCGACGCTCAAGCCAGTTCCGGAGGTACATTTTGGACCTGGGATTTCACATGCCGATCCCCATAATATCATCCAAATTTACGACCCGGAGGTTGGCCAAATCGGAAACCCGTGTGAGGACAAGCATCGGCGTTTAATCCGAAGCCATCGGACCGGCATCATGGATCGTGATCTGAAGCCCAACCCAAAGATCAGGGATGATCTCAATATGATTATCTCCTACGAACCGACGCAAGACCTCACTGCCGAAGAGAAGGATCTCGTGTGGCGTTTCAGGTATCATCTCACACGTGAGAAGAAGGCATTGACAAAATTTGTCAAATCAGTCAACTGGCGGGACGTCGGAGAATCGCGGCAAGCGGTTGAAATGTTCCCTAAATGGACAGAAATTGATGTCGATGATGCTCTGGAGATTCTAGGTCCTACGTTTGATAATCCTGCTGTCCGTTCTTATGCCGTGGAAACACTGCGGAAGGCAGACGACGAGGAGTTGCTCCTATATCTTCTTCAATTGGTGCAGGCTCTGAAATATGATGCAACCCCGGATAACGAACCTGATGCGGCTCCGCAGGAATCCTCGCTTGCACATTTTTTGATCTCGCGTGCGGCTAATAACTTCAAACTTGGCAACTACCTACACTGGTATCTCATGGTCGAATTTGATGACGCTGACGCAATTCAGCGTCGGCTGTTTGCGCGAGTCGAATACTACTTCATGATTGAACTCGAGAAACTTCATCCTGAGCATAGAAAAACACTATTGCATCAAGGTGAAATGGTGGCTGTGTTGTCCAAAATAGCCAAGGATGTACGCTTCGCGCGTGAAAACAGAGTCGGCAAGATTGAGATGCTGAAAAAATATCTCCGCGATCCTGATAACGACCTGATCAACATAGATCCACCGCTGCCCTTACCTTTGAATCCTGATGTTTCAGTCATTGGTTTATATCCGGAGGAGTCGAACGTGTTCAAGTCCACTCTTTCCCCTTTGCTTATCACATTCAAGACTTCTGAAGGCCGTCGCTATCCGATGCTGTTCAAAGTCGGTGATGATCTTCGCCAGGACCAGTTGGTTATCCAGATCATCATATTGATGGATCGCCTTTTGCAGAAGGAGAATCTTGATCTAAAACTGACCCCTTATCGAATTCTTGCCACCAGTGCAACCGCTGGCGCGGTGCAGTTCATTCCCTCAATTTCTCTCTCCGCAGCTTCTGCCAAGTACAAATCCATCCTCGCCTATCTACAAGCCAATAACCCAGATGACACTGAGCCGCTCGGTGTCCGCAAAGAAACAATGGATACATACATCAAATCATGTGCCGGATACTGCGTCATCACGTACCTCCTCGGTGTTGGCGATCGACATCTTGAAAATCTGCTTCTAGCGCCAGATGGTCACTTCTTCCACGCCGACTTTGGCTTCATCCTCGGTCGTGATCCAAAACCATTTGCACCGATGATGAAACTTTGTAAGGAAATGGTTGAAGGCATGGGCGGTACAACTTCGCCCCATTATCTGCAATTCAAGCAGTACTGCTACACTGCCTACACCACACTTCGCAAATCCGCCAATCTAATTCTTAACCTCTTCAGCTTGATGGTGGATGCCAATATCCCTGATATTCGAGTGGAGCCTGACAAAGCCGTCTTGAAAGTGAAGGAGCGCTTCCATCTTGAAATGACCGAGGAAGAAGCCATCCGTCACTTTGAGCAACTTATCGCAGACAGTGTCAACGCTATCTTCGGAGTTGTGATTGATCGCTTGCACGATTTTGTGCAGGGCTGGCGGGCATAAGCTATATGTATTCTCCCAAAGAGTTTCACGCTCATCTTGCATACGCTTAGTCTTTTTTGTTTCGAACCGCAGGTATTCGGGCGTTTGGAGACATAATGTCATGGGATGGTGATCTTGCTTCTGTTTTCATGACCCTCGGCGCAATATGATGGATTTATAAAAGCCAGGATACCCAACCTAGACTATTTTGTCTGGGTAGCAATAATTTGTTGGAACTTACATGCAATGCCCCTACCGGTGCCACCAAACCAGGCTCCTACTTGCTGTATACTATAGATCTATCTGGTATCCAGGCCAAGCCCTGAAAGACTACAGAGTAATTGACATCCAGGGACTACCAATCAGATGAATGAGAAGTTCGGACTTCTCCATTGGCATTATATATATCTGTTAAGAGCTATGTATATAGGGCTGGTTTAATTTAACTCAGATCTAGTCTTGCGATGTTCTCTCTGTTCTTTTTCCTGGACATGCATTATCTGGTACTCGGCATTGCGCGCATTCAATGCACTGTCATGTGATCTCAGTCATGGGGTTTCATTGTATCCCTTGGTCACTCTCGTTGGTCCCCGGTTACCCATATTTGCCAGGGTGACCTCGGCCCTAGGGGTTCGATCGCGAACTAAGAATAGCAACATAATACCAAGCGCTTTCCTTCCTGGTTTGAGTGTCGCAGATAGGACTATCATGAATTGCAAACTGCAATCTTTTGGATCTTGACTGTGCTTGATACTGTGGCCCTGTAGCTGATTATGGGATTAAAAATTATACATCAAGGTAAGATGAATGTCTTGGCGTGGTCCGTGGATAATTCTAGAGCTGATTTTATTTTTAAAACCCTCGGGAGCCAATAGATGGCTATAGAAAGACAGGTATGTTATGGATACTATATCTTTTATTTTAAAGCACGGGTCTAAAAGGTTCGAATGCAACCGTGGAAGACTTGATGACTCCCAAGGTTTACCCCAAAGTTCCCACCCGACATTTAGGCTCCCACCCGTGGGCCGAGCCTTGGAACCTTGTTTGGCCCCACCACCAATCATGCCGTTGTCCTTCCAAACCATGCGAACTACGTCCGGTTCAAGAGAAGTGGGTCATTTTATTTTTCTTTATTTTTCATTTCATTTCATCTCATTTCATCTCATTTCATCTCATCTCATCTCATTTCATTTCATCTCATCTCATCTCATCTCATTTCATTTCATCTCATCTCATCTCATTTCATTTTTTATTTATTATTTTTTTGTATTTTAAATATAAAATACTTAATTTTTTGGTTTTTCTATGTGGATCTGTAGAAACCTGACATTTCCATTTAGGAAGAGTAGGGGGAAGCGGAAGAATCCCCCCGGAGGCAAGGAAAGGGGGTGGAACCAATGGGAAGAAATTGGTACATCGTCATTCATATTTTTTATATTTGATGTATTGAACTTATTTTATTTGAATTTACCTTTGTACGGAGTACTCAAAGTGTGTACTCAAAGGAAACATATTGTCCGAATTCTTAAGGAAGAAGGGAAATTGATATGAATCAGATCAGATTTCTTAGAAAAGAAATAGAAAGTTTTTTTAATTCGACAGATCCCCCAGATCCAAAGAGAAAACAAAAAAAAAAAAAACATAAGACCCACGGTCCTGAACATCGGGCCCGGGGCGGGGACCGGGGAACGGCATTAGGGCTAGTAGACGCTAGATGTTTTTATGAAGATCGATTATCCCAGATATCTTTTACGCCTCATTTCAAATCATTTTAATTAAATTTTTCTTCTTTTACTTTTCTTACTGTAAAATCATATTGTCATACTCTCTCCACCCAGGTTGCCTTCCTTTCCAAAATTTTATACACGTTGAGCGTCTGAGCACCTTTTTGAAGACCCCTCAGTCCTGGTACGTCTTTTTTTTTTACCGTACATGAAAAAGTAATTGTGGCTGTGGCGTTCATCGAAATTTGATAGGTGCCAAATCGGTTCTATGTACGGAGTATGTAGAGCTCACCAAGGTACATAGCCCCGCAAGAATTGAAAGAAACAAAAATTGTCTCTTGATTATTTGACTGTTCTAGTTAATGGTCAACGGTTGTACCACATTTTCGATGGCATTTCAGTCGTGATTTGTAGATCTAATATGCCGGTAATGGTTCAATAACCATTTTTACTATTTATAGTATACAAACTAGATGTGCTCAGGAGTAATAATGATCGAGTTATTACCTATGTAGGTACCTAAGCGATCTATCTGAATTGAAATAGCTGTGATTCTAGAATAATTAATACTATACGGAGTACGGAGTAGTAAGAAGCACAGATCAACAAATATGCGGCCGGGGTATAGCGCAGATCATCGAAATAGTATGTGGCTGGGTCGGGAGGTAAGTCTAGAAGTGACAGTCTAGAAGTGAGTCGAGAAGTGAGTCTAGAAGTGATGAGAAGAAAAAGTTCCGGGGCTGTTCCGGGGCTGTTCCGGGGCTGTACTTTTTACTATGCTTCTTTAGGGGTCCCGGATTTCTCATGCTTGGTTCCGGACAATGACGCAAAATTGTCCTTCACGGGTATGTTATGCTGTACATATCAGAAATTGGAGCTGAAATTTACCCAAAAATCATTGATAATATAAATAGGCTTGGCGGGTACAGATATATTCCCGAGTGGGGGAATTCACAATAGAAGATTGTATTACCATTTTAAGGGATCACCCTATTTCTTGCACCGAACACGTAATTCCAAATGAAAGAAAATAAAAGTCAAGAAAAAGCATAAAAAAACAAGCGGGTCGGTTCGTACTCGGATGATTGGCCGGGCTCCAGATCTCAACGTTGCAATTTGTTTAGACAATCACTTCAATTAATGTACGGAGTAAATAATATAAATCCCGAAGATCCACCAACCCACTCCCGTTGACTTCTCCACAATTCATCGGATCACGACGTAATGCTACCTAGGTATTGGACAACGCACGACTACCCATTCGGAAGTCACTCCGTACACTGACTGCGGATAACATCTCGTGTTTGTACCGCCTTCTTGTAAAGGTATACCGCCCAATTTTTACACATCTTGATTAGAGGAATCTCAATTTGTTGGCAGAATATTGCTCTCAGGGGTGCCAGCGCTTTTGCGGTGTGACCGTCGATGTCACATATTGATCCATACATATGTGATGGGCTCTCCTTTGGACCAATAACAATCGCCATTCCAAAACTTCCATCACCCACTGACTGGGCCTCAACCTGAACCTATTTCCTGGTACCTTTTTTTCAGATGTCAGGAACAATCACCCTTGGTGATATACTACACCCGTGCGATTTACACCCGTGCGATTTACAGATCTTATCAACCGCTTTCGCTTCTTCTGTTCATGCCTGGGTGAAGCTCCTGACATAGAATATAAATAATCCCAGCTTTCCCCTCTTCAGCAGCATGAAGATACTCACACCCAACCCAGACCCCTTCAATCAACACTTATTTCTTCTCCATTCTGACTTTTATATATCTTGCCGTCGATAGGTGACCATGGCGCAGCGGTCAGCCACCACCGTCATGGATGATTCGAGTCTAGACCTTCTCCTCGGGCTCGGGTGGACCACATCTGATTCCATTTATCCCCAACCTTGGCTTGCTAGTTGGCCCCCCGCAGTCGCGGAGGCATCTACCGCCCCTACAGATCAATCTACGTACAATCCATACAAGGAATCCTTGGCCCCGCCTGGTGAACGTTTCACGCCGCCATCTCCGTCGACCCATCGCCGGCCAAATGAGCACACCCCGCAGCATTATCCTGTCAACAGAAACAATCCTCGATCCCTGGCTGCAGCGTTTGACGGCTCCGTGGATCACAACACTCGTACTGCCCCTTTCGTGGCTTCCACGTTTGGACAAGCACTACCTTGGCAGGAGCCTCCCCTCCTAAACGTCATTGCCCCAGGAGGCACGAGCAATGGCTTAATAGACAACGAAAGGCCCCATAGCAATGACCACGGGTGTGAGCCAGAGTAAGCTATCCCCAGTTTCCAACAAGAAAAGAGAGGTGCCGGCTTGCTGAGAATATTCAACTATTTTAGTAACACATCCACGAGTCTCCGTTGTGATTGGCCGGGATGCACATCCCGTCGCACGTTCACGGTTAGGGGGTCACTGACGCGCCATCGTCGTGAACAGCATACTGCTCGACAGTCAATCGTTTGCCCAATTGTCGGATGCGGGAAGACATATTCCCGGAAATCCCATATGGCCGACCACCAGCTGAAGGTTCACGGAATACGGGCTTCAGGTTAATGAACATGGTGTTTGGGTTTGGAATTGGAGTATTGGGGCATATGTTAGATATAGAACTTAGGTAGGTTTGCATAGGTATGCTAGTTGGCGCTGTAATTAGGGTTTTCTAAGGGTAAGGCTTTAGCGATAAGGCTTGGGGTTCCTTTTTCAGTAGTATGAGTATAGGATGTCTGAATGTTTGCATGATAAGATATATGGGAGACTGTATACAATGTATTAAATTTTTATTTTTGCGAAACAAATTAGAATGCTCACCAATTTTTCAGCCTATTGTGTCGATCAAATTCATTTACTACTACCCTCTATATATAAATTGATAGACGACAACAATCTCTCTTACAACAAGAGCCTGCGTTGCCATTATTGTAATAAAACTAATAATACAACTCTGCCATCTATAAGACTGTCCAATCGTGCTGTTGGAACCATGTATGTTGTTGCAATTATGTATATCGGTTTATGCGCGGCCCTTCACCGCCCGCCCTTCCGCCTTGAACATTTTGACGGGTTTTTCGTTGCCTTCCGCGGCCAAGCTATTTTATTCCTTTGATTATACAGTCCCTCGAGATAGATCGTCCACCACTTCGATTAAGATGAATCGAATTTCACCGGATTGAACAACACTCCCAATTTAAAGAGCTTCAATGGCCCAATTTGTTCCGCGCAGTGTATTCCCCCATTATGGGGCTATTCCAAGGTCCTATTTCTTAGGACACCACAGGGCTGGTC